ACATGAATTTAGCCTAGAGTGAATGGAAATTGGAGAGAAGAATCTAAAATAAGGAAGGTATTAATGTAGAATAGACGATCTACCTCCAGCTTCCCAGAGGCAGACCTCCTTGATGTTAAATTGTCAATGCCTGAGAAACTTAGGAAGAGTCTACCTTTTTCTTTCTATGAAGATAGATATGGCATAAGATAATGAAAGAGAAGAAAGGGAGGAAAAATGAGAGATCAGGATGAGCAAAAAGAAGGAGAGCCACATGTCCACAGTCTCACTCTTTATTTCTAATTCCTGTGTTGCTGCACTAAGAGATGCTATGGAAATTATTGAGTCAAAAGAGGCATACTATGGTTTATCAGTATACCTTACTTTTACTGATTAATTCAGTTATTTTTCATTTAATTGTAGAAATATCCTTGTTCAAGCATTCTACTTGCTTGCCATTCTGTGTAGAGTACATAGTCTAAGAGAGGCAGGGATCCAAAATAAATCTAAATCAAAATAAATAATCAGCAAAGTTTCTTTTTAATTTTCTAGAGTAATCTCAGTGGTAGAGAGTCTGCCTCTCATAGATGAGGCTTAAGGTTCTAATACAAGTACTACCAAAACAAAGAATCAACACACACACACACACACACACACACACACACACACACACACACACACACACACAGAGTGAGGAAGAGAGAGAGAGAGCGACAGAGACAGAGACAGAGATGGAGACAAAGAGAAACACACACAGAGAGAGACAGAGACAAAGAAAGATACACAGAGAGAGAGACAGAAACAGTTAAGTGGCATGTTTCTATTGAATTAATAGGCTTAAATCCATATAACAGAAAAATATTGAAGGCACATGACATGAACAAACTCCTACTTGGAGCAACAGTGCTATCTGAGAAGCTTTGCAAATGTTTGCAAGATGGGTAATAAGGGCATGGTTCAAAGACAATAAGGATGTAACACATCTCAGATCTGTTAGGGAAGCTGGGGGCTGGGTACTGAAGTGAGAGTTTATTTCAGAAATAGAACAGGCTGTTCTTAAAATAGCTGGAACAGCACTGATATAATATTTTAGTATCAACGATATATATGTTTTCAGATCTACCACTTCCAATCTGGACAGGCAGAATTAGCTGGTCTTTTTTATCTTCTCACAACACTGTTCTGTTAACACTTGTCACATTATGTTGCTATCAGTTAGTTTATAGCTTGGTACCCTGTGTGATTCACCAAAACATTATGTATTAAACACAGTTTCACTTTAGAGGAAAACTGTTTAAATTCTAGGGTCAGACAACATAAGTCCATATTCCTTTTCCTTCTTTATTAAACCACGACCATAAATATATTACTTAGCCACTAAAACTCAGTATTCTTACAGACGACAATAAGATACTAATATTCCTGGTCTCAAACACTGAAAAATCCCAAAACCAATTGGGAAATAGTCAGTGGATGTTTGTAAAAAATATGAGATATATACATTAGAGTTTGAAAGATGTTCTCTTCTTCATATATATGTTAGGGGAAGGGTAGGCTCTGAGACAAAGAAACATTTCTTTCTTTGTTTCTTCCTTTTTTTTCTTGTTGTTGGTCGAAGGTGTTCAAGATAGAATGTCTGTGCCTAATAGCCCTGGCTGTCTTGGAACTTTCTCTATAATTCATGCTGGCCTCAAACTCAGAGATTTGCCTGTCTCTGCCTCCCAAGTGCTTCAATTAAAGATTTGGTCCATGCTGAAGAGATGGCTCAGAGGTTAAGAGCACTGACTGTTCTTCCAAAGGTCCTGAGTTCAATTCCCAGCAACCACATGGTGGCTCACAACCACCTTGAATGAGATCTGATGCCCTCTGCTGGCATGCAGGCAGAAGATTGTATACGTAATAAATAAATAATTTTAAAAAAGATTTGGTCCATGACTGACACAAAACTTCGAAATTTGGCACTTGCAAAATCATAAGGGGTTCTTGCAAGGAAAGCCATGAACTCTCCATCCTGTGGTAGATGCCTGGTAAGCCACCTGGAATGAATGAGTGAGGTACATAACTTCCCTTACAAACTTGAGATTATATGCATATGAAATTTCTTTGAGCTTTCTCTGCTGACCACTTCTGTATCCACTTGAACATTATTGTTTGGTCTTGTGTTGAGGGCCAAACTTAATACCTAGATGATACAAAGATTTGAAAGATCATTGTTAATTGAAATTACATGTACTAGGGTTAGGAAACTTAGTTCTCTTTAAAAGAAACAGTACTGATCCATGAGAGTTTCATTTTTACTATTTCATGCAGAACAAGTTTCCTCTAGACATATTAACAATCTTGTTGCTATTTTGATAGCAAATAGTTTATTCCTGCTAGCAACACCTACACATCTGCTGTCCCTGTGATCTAAGAAAACACTGTTGAGTGGTGAAAAGTTCATTGCTATGGAAAGAGTATGATCACTCAACTCTGTTGTCCTTTACCTCTCAGCAGTAAACCTTGGTGGACCAAACATAAATGAAAAATAATGCTTTCCAATAAAGACATAAGTCTTGAAAACTCTGGGATACACTGTAAAACTGTTTTCAAAAACTATTTTATATGTCTTGTGTGGGGGGGGTCAGAGAATAATTTGCTAGGGCTAGTTTCAAGGCTTTAGTCCAGGTACCTAATCTAAGCAACAGACATCTTTACCTACTGAATTTTCTGGTCAGCCCTAATATTCTATTTTTTAACCAATGCAAGGACATTTCCTCAGAAGCTTATTGTAAATAATCAGTAAACTGGGTATATAGGGAGCATGTAAGTCAGAGAAACTGAGATGTAGAGGCAGAGTGACTAGTTTAATACTATATTAGTTTGGATGTCATTGGTCCCCATAAGCCCATAGGGAGTGGCACTATTAAGAAATGCGTCCTTATTTAAGAAAGCATGACCTTATTGGAGGAAATTTATCACTGTGGAGGTAGTCTTTGAGGTTTCCTATACTCAAGATACTGCTCAGTGTCTCAGTTTACTTCCTGTTGCTTATGGGATCAAGATGTAGCTCCTTCTATCTTAGAGATTCTATTACTGTGAAAAGACATCATGATCATAGCAAGTCTTATAAAAAAAATTCCGCTGAGGTGTAACTTATGGTTTCAGAGTTTTAGTTCATTATTATCATAGCAGGGAACATGGCTGTGTACAGGCAGACATGGTGTTGGAGAAGGAGCTAGTACATGTCGATCCATAGGCAACAGGAAGTAGACTGAAATACTGGGCACGACTTGAGCATATATGAGACCTTAAAGCCCACCTCTACAGTGACAACACTTTCTTCAACAACTCCATATCTACTACAATAAAGCCACACCTCCGTGTTGTGCTATTCAAACTTCCAGAGTAACATGTCTTTGTTGAAATAAGCTGGATATTTTTAGGTAATCATCTAGAATGAGGCATTTATGACTCACATGTCAACATAAATCAATATAAAATAAGCATATAAAACAATTATAAAGAAGATAATCTATCATAGGAGAATAAGAAATCCAAAAAAGTTACGTTATCTATCAATATAAGATAAACTAGTAAACTAAATATGGTTGAAATGATTAAATGAAGAAATTATAGTATTAATAGAGAAAAACAGATTATAATTGGAAGACTTCAAAAAGAACCAAACTTCTGAAAATGCAGCAAAAATATATATTATACACATATATATCCAAAATGTATGTGTGTATGTGTGTTTATGTTGGGTTTTATTTATGTGTGTGTGTATGTGTGTAGCTAAAAAAAGAATTATTGAAGACAAAACTAAGGAAACTTCTCCAGTTGCAGCACCCAGAGAAAAGGATTTCAGGTAAATAAAAGAAGTTAAATTCAAGCTGGGTGGTGGTGGTACATGCCTTTAATCCTAGCAATTGGGAACAGAGGCAAGGAATCTCAGTGAGTTTGAGGTCAGCCTGGTCTACAAAGCCAGTTCCAGCACCGACAGAACTATTGTGCGGAGAAACCCTGTCTCAAAAACCAACAACAAAAAAGAAGAAGAAGAAGTTGTTAAATTCATGAAAGGCCTTCGAAAAGTTCAACATGCATCTATTTAGATAATTTCTAGAGAGAATAGAAAAATAGGAAGGGCAATATTTAAAAAGATAATGATTGGGAATTTTTCATAGTCGAGTAAGATGAGCTGTTTCATTAAAAGATTATAGGCAAGGTAAAACAAACAAACAATAACAATACTTTTAACTCATCATAAGCAAATGATATATATCAAAAATGAAATGCAAATCTTTTAAATTAACATATTACTTTCAATAAAGTCCAGAAAGTAATGAATGTTGAAGTATTGTTTGACAAACAAAAATAAAATGTTTGTCAATCTATATTTATGTGTCTAGGCAAATATTTTAAGAAAAGGGGTAAATATAAGATATTTCCTGATGAAGTTTGAGGAACTTCCTTTGGATGATCCCAGAGAAATGAAAAGGTATATCAGAGGTGATTATGAGAAAAGACATGATTACAATATAAGCAAATCCATACCACAGTGAAAACCACTACCAATAACAAATCTGTAGTACTAATAATACTGGGGAGACTGGGGCAGGAGGATTAACACTCCAGTCAGTAAGCTACATGGTGGGCCCCAGACTCAAAATGAATTGGAGTAAAAGGAAATGCCGGTGATCATCAGTATTGGAATAATGGTTATAAGCCAGATATTCTTGTCTCTATTTTGCAATCAGGAAGAAGGAAACTACACTGTGAGCTATCTGTACTCATTTAGAGTATAGATGTAAATTCAAGTTATCTGACCAATTAGTCTCTGATCTAGAGTCACTTCTTTGGAGCTAAAGCCTATATACAATTAATATATGTAGAGTCTATCACACTTTTCAGGGCTAATACTTAGCTCTTAATTTCTCTTTCCCTTTGCTAGAATATCAATTTAGAAATACCCCAACTTTGTCCATGTGGACCAGTCATATATCTCCATGTCTGTTTTAAAAGTTTTTTCTTTTGTTTAGGTTTACCAGGTTATCAATATTTACTGAAATTTAAAAGAAAACTGACATCCCATAATTCTGTTTAGACAAAAAAGATGATTCTATAATTTGGATCTGGAATGTTTCCCAAAGGCTTGGTTCTAGTGTGGCGCTGTCAAGAACTGGAATAACATTTAATGGAACGTCCATAGGCCTTTGTGAGTGTGTCCTCAAAGAGGATTCTCTCCTTTTACTTTCCTGTAACTGTGCTTCCCACAGATTCTGCAGTATAAGTGTCAAAATGCTTCCTTTGTCATGAAAGAAACAACATATATATGATAGTCTCATACACCGGGCAGTGATGGTGCATACCTTCACTCCTAGCACTCAGGAGGCAAAGGCCGATAAATCTCTGTGAGTGTGACACCAGCCTGACCTACAGAGTGAGTTCTAGAACAACCAGGGCTACAAAGAGAATCCTTGTCTTTAAAAACCAAAATAACAACAAACAAACAATACTCTCATGTATTAGTCTATAAATCTCTTGTGCCCTTTTGTAGGCTACTGATAAAACTAAGCTTTCAGGTAGATCACTTAATTTATATATTAAAATGAAACAATGTCCAGAGGATTGACATTATATATTGATATTTATTGCATGATGCTTGAGCAATTTTTTACTGTGGAGATTATAAAAAGCCTGTCTTCATGATCTGAAAATAGAATATGCAACTTTGGGATTTCATGGAATTAGTGGCTACACCACAACATATTCCATGCTCAGATAGTGTGCATCTGTTCTCATAATTATTGGAGTCCTAGGAGTTATAAATAACCAGGTCTGTTCTGAGTTTCCTGTTACGAATGAAGCCGAATTTGCGTTTATCTCAGACATTCCTTTCTTCTCTTTTATAGGTCACAGTGAGCCCTCAGATCATTCATGCCCATCCTGTTACTACTTGACGAATTCAGAAGACGTTCATCTCCCCACATTTCAGGCATTAACTCCCCAACCCGTGATCCTGACAAAATCAATTATAATTAAAAAATGCATTGCCCAACCTGGGAACAGAATATGAGGAAAATGCCTCTGAGGCTCGCTGAGTTTTGATCTCCTGAAAGTGAACATGTTTGGAACAATATTCCTGAAAAGGACTTTGATACGATCAACACCATGTATAACAATGAGGAGTGTGATGCTCTGCCTTAAGCTATAAGAGGGAAAGAAGCAAGTAGACAAGCGTGTGCTTGGACAGAATGGAACTAGAAAATTTCAGAAGGAAAGGTCCACAAGATGAAAATGTTTCATCTGCTTTATGTATGTAAGGGCTGTAGGTACACAAATTTCTATGTGCATGTATGTAGAGCTTGGAGGTTGACATCAGCTCTTTTCCTTGCTCTCCATTTAGCTAATGAAGCTCACTGGTTAGGCTTTACTGTCAGGCCACAAGAAACCCCAAGGAGCTTCCTGTGTGCCCCTCCTCAACAGCTGGATTGCAGAAGTATACTTACACATCTGTTTTTTTTATGTAGGTGTTAGAGATCATAGTTAGACCTTCATATTGTACAACAACCACTTTACCTACTGAATCCTCCATTTTCTGTGTGGCTAAACTATATATTGACTTAACAAAGGGTGGGGTCTGCTGTGAAGGATTTCTGGTGTTTTTTTTTTTATTTTTTTATGCTATGCCCTGAAGACACAGTCTCATCCTACTTTAGAAATGAAAATACCTGGGTTTTAATCCTTACATGTGACGTTGGCTGGCAGACATTAGAAACCTCACTTAAGCACAGTGTAACTAGAACTCTCAGCATATTGTGTTTTATGTTTCCAAGGTTCCAATAAAAACTGAGATTGAAGACTTGTTCAGCTTTGGGATAACAATGCTTGCTTACGTACTGGTATTCTATGCATTCAAACTCCATCCTCCTCTCCTGTCTATCTCAATCAGTCTCCTACCCATTAATTTCAAGCAAATTAATATAGATAGAAAAATAGAGCCTAGAAATTCTCCAGATTCAAAAGACAATTGACAAGAAGTGGAAGAGGATGGGAGAGCAGAGTGAGCCTTCTAACCTACTGAGCTTGCTATGAGAGGGGGAAACTCTACAGAGGGATTCACTATACCAGATGGATTTGCTTTTCCTAAATGATACCTTACTGGTGAGCAAAGGATGAACAGAGAAAGATGTCAGAGCATCCCAAGTGCAAAGGAACACAGTGGTTTTACTGATGTTTTGTATTCTCATTCTTGCTAGGTCTATAACAGGACTAATAAGAACAGGCTCAGCTCACTCATTACCAAGCAAACAGTCACAGAGTCATGCTTTAACCTTAAGAGGAAGAACACGAAGCACTTTTATTCTTCTTCTAGAATGAGTCTCCTCTTGAGTTCCTACTGGAAGCTGGGGGTGGGGTGTAGCATGGTTGTTGCTTTAGGAGTTACTCAGCAGGTGGTGGTTACTAAATGTGGCACTGGGGAGCAGTAATAAATAAATAAATACAAACTACAAGAAACTCTTGGCCCTTACTTTTCAGCCCCCGCTCTCCCAGAAGAGTTAAAGAAAAATTAGGAAGAACAGAAATAGCTGTGCCCCCACCCCACTTACCAAATGTCGAAGAAACTTTTAATTACTTAGTTTAATATCATACAAATATGAAAATGTGCAGGGCAAAAGGAAAATTATAAAATTAAAAGTAATTCATACATTATTAAGTCTCTTCTCTGACACATTCCATCTCCCAGCCATACATTTGACAAGCACCTACCATAATGGCTAATTCCAAGATAACTGTATTAGGAATAAAGCCGGAAGTTAATTGCTGTGATAGGGTGGTACCATAATCCAAAAGAAATTTACAAGAAGAAAATGAGGCACCGAGAGCATACATGAACAGGAAAATAAAGGCAATGTGAAGACACGGAGCTCACAGAGGGCCATGTGGAAGCCATAGAGATGGGAGCCATCAGGGAACATCTAATCTGCCACCTTGATCTTGGATACCAAGGCACAAAACTGCTAAGATGATTTCTGTTCTTTGGTCACCTCTACTTACATTTTGTACTGACAGCCCCACAAAACCAATGCAAGGCTGTTGATGAAAATAATGCATTTGTGGAAATGGAGATCCAGGAAAGAATTTTGCATCTATCTGTACCTTGGGTTCTTGGGTCAGAGATTAAGGAACTTCTGCAAAGGAGGCCCTTTTGGCTCCTTTCCCGAGAGGTGTCATTTTAATTGAAGTCCAAGTGAACTGTGTCTCTTGGAATCCTTGAGTGTATAATTTCCATGGTCAGATCTCACCACCTTGAAAATGGTCTGTGAAACTCCTCTCTAAGCTGCCTTCAATTTCATTTGGGGAATGTAATTATTCTGGGCAAAAAAAATGCAGAAATGTCTTTAGATTTTAAGAGTCATGTGACCTAAAAACATGTAAGAATCATTGATGACTTCAAAGCACCCATTTTACAGATGAATAAAGCCAACCCCATAAAGGACTATTTCCTCCAAATGTGTTAAAAATGTTGACAAAAATAAGATCCAAATCTCTTGCCTTCTCGTAAAAGGCACCAAATTGTGTTTTCACAGGAGCTAAACATTTTACCTGAGGTCCCCTTGGGCAAAAGATATCCTTTATCTTTTCAAAGTATATTGATGTGTACAAGAAATTCAAGTTTTAGTGTATTCATTTAGATAGTCAGCTTGTCAGTTCTTCAACTCTTGCCAATATCGAAACTATGTTATATAGATGTGAAGCCTTAAGGATGACATGACTACGTGGAGATATCGGTGTAGGTAGAGGACAAGTAATTCCACTGAAGGATGTTTCCTAAGGCTCCAAGTCCCAGCTCCTAAATTGCTATGAATGTGAATATAAATCTGTTACCTTTCACATGAGGAATGGTTAAGAGTCAAGGTGCAATTCAAATCCCATCTCCCCGATAATTACTCTTTGACAGAGCCAAGGCAAACAGACCAGAGATTGCATGCATGCTGTACTTACAGGTACAACTTCAAATGTATAAACCTCCCAGCCTCCAACTTCAAAGAGCTATACATTGAGCTACAAAGAGTCACATGGATGAGCTATAAGCTGATCAAGGACATGGAGGCCCATAGTTTCCCACCTACTCCCTCACCATGTATGTTCATTGCTGGTATTGACTACTTGCTCCAGGAGTCTGTGACTATTAATGGCCATTTGCCTTCTCTTATGTACAGCACTCTCTCCCTGTTTTGGAGGGCCTCTGTGTGGGCTGCATAGCTACCAAGGTAGCCATCTACCTGTCTGCATGTTTGCTTTCCCTGAATTCCTGAAGTGAAAATGGGAAATTCTGTGTTAAACAGAAGTCTGACCCATTGATAGGTACTTGAAAAGATTGTCCTTCTTTTCCCTTTCCTTTCTTCTCCTTCTTCCTAGTGTCTCAGAATTGTGAGTGCAGAGAACAGCCCTAAACTCAGCACCAATGCTGTGGTGTTTGACATGCATAGGAAAAGATTTAAGAATTTAGTATTTTACTTTTCTTTTGAAGGAAGCTGTGGGCACAAGAGGCTCAGGAAGACAGTGGCTTTTGATTACTTCCTAAAACACTGACTGACATATACACCTTCATAAAGTCAACTTAACATGGTAGATGAGTGAACACTGCAAACATTCTAGCTTCCTCTAACCAATGTTTTTTTTTCCTCATGCCCAGGATATACTGAGTTGTATATAGTATAAGCCCCAGGCATGTTGACGTCCTCTCTCCCACCTCCTCAGTGTCCACGAGTCACAGAATAGCAAGGGTACACTTGGACAAAAAAATAAAGAATAGCACATAAGCTAATGGCTGCTTGCCCTAAAGTGGCAGATTGCCAAGCCCCAGGCAGGTCCTTCTGCCACATTAGAATTACAACTTACCCAGGGGTCTGGGGGGTCAACAAAGGAGAGAAAGAAATCAGTTTAGAAGTTAAATCTCTGCTCCCATGCCCTCCTACTCTCTGTTTTCCAAGCAGCCTACTATTCTTCCCAAGGCACTCTAGTTCTTTCTCTACCTCTAGGTTTTGATTTCACCAACATCTTCCTAGAAAACAATCGTGCTGCTAATTGCAACCTGTCATTCGTCAGTTAATATCCTCAGGCTTGACTTAAGCATTCCAAAATTCAAAAACTATCCTGCTCAAGTCACAATACACTTTCCTTTCCTTGTGGCCTTTTGAAACTCATATGGCACCAAACAAATGTGTTTCGTGGATGCAAGTCCACAGATGCACCTCTCTCTTCCCTATACATGCATGATTGTGGAAATGACTGTTCACTCAGGGCTTTTGATCAGAACTGCTTTTTTCTAGACTTGGCCACATAGGATTTAGTACTAAATAGATGGTTTAACCATGTTCCCGTGTTCTGATTTTCATCTTTATTAGGTACCAAACCACATGCAAATTTCATCCATTCCTTTTTTCCCCCATAGTCAACACTCTTATCAAATATGTACATTGCCCCCTTTTTGACCCATTCCAGTAATTCAATTCATCATATATCTAGAATGTCCTTTTCCCTTGAGGTTCTCCCAAACCCTTTTCTTGATTTAAGTTGCAAAAACAGTGCTGGCTTGAAGTCTGGAGGCTATTAAATATGTGGTTGGGTCTCCTAGACCCTTTATCAAGTATGTCTTTATCAAGGTAATAAATGTGTCTTTGGAACCCTGAACAGAATTCCAAATTTTCATTTGTTTAGAAACGTTTCTCATATTACTAGGTTCATGATCATAGCAGCTTACACTAAGATATAGAGAACTTTCTGGGTTAGTAGGTACTTGATCTTGTAAGTAGAACACACCATTTCTCTAGAAAAAAATGAATCCAAGCTCAGGAGACTTGACAAGAAACCCTTTTGAAAACAGAGGCCTGCCTGCTCTTCTCTGATGCTGTGGGTGGTAAGTGGGTCGGTGGTATGACTATGATATCGGGCTTTCTATTTTTATAATGTGTCAAGGATGCTGAGGAATTCATCCCCCAAACTGAGAAGTGCAGAATAGCACCAGATCCTAAATCATGCAGAGACAATATACACCTATGTTGTGGGAGGTTGTGGGAGTGGGGTGAGGGATTTGTCAGAAGCACTCCCCAGCACAGACCATGCTGTTTGCTGGCTTAGCCTAGTTTGTGGGCCTTAAGTAGGAGAGAATTTGCTTTTATGTTCTTCTTTTTCAAATTAGCCTCTTTTGCTGTATAAGCATGAAGTACCAAGTTCATATTCTGTGATCCATGTGAAAAAGCCAGGTAAAGAGAACATTTTTAACCCTAGCCCTAGTGTGTGGACATTGTTGGTTGGTGGAGAAAGACAGATTCCTAGGACTCTGCTAGTGAGCCAGTCCAGCCAAAATAGTGAGTTCCAGGTTCAAAAAGTAAGGTGGAGAGCAACAGCAACTATGTCTACTTATGGAATCCACATGCCCATGTGTTGTGAGCATTTTACATAAAGTCATGAGCACACATAGGCATACCACACACACTAATCTCATTATGTCAAGCCTTACAAGTAGACTGTACAGGGAGGAATATTAATTACTTTCAAATACAAAGTAAATATATAATTATGCTTATGAGAAACGTGGTTTCTATCTTTGAGGTAGTTTTTCTTAGCACATTACTAATACTAAGCAAGTGAAACTCAGACATAAGTTTATAATACTTGAGAATTTTCAGTTCAAACCATGACCAAGATTATTCCACAACTCAAATTTGTAAGCAGTTCTCCTCTGCTTTAGCTAAGTGAACGGCCTTCTACACACCATGGAAGTAGGTGGATAGGAAGGAGTGGGAGCTAGGCGTGATACTAACTTTCTCATCAAGTTTTCACCTTCCCATTTAATCTACTCA